AAGCTTTGATAACTGACGTTTGAAACATTAGTCAAGATTAAATTACCATAATCCTACTGCTTTTTCCCACTAGACTGGGGAAGTTTTAAGTGTTACTTTAAAGATGCTGTTCCTGTCTTTTGTATAGATACACGACCTGCGGGAATAGAGCCCACAGAAGAACATCTTAAGCACTGGTTTGGAACTTCAGAGAAAGATAAAGCCCCTGATTGTACCACCCAATAAAAGTGCTCTGTTGCAAGCTGCCTTTGCGGTAGCTACAGCCACAATCTGCGTATATGAAAGATAACTGCTTCAGGTGAAAAGCCATCAGCCTCTTCCACAAATTGTGAGAAGAGCTCTGGTGGCATGCAAATCCTTTGGATTTGGAGTTGCTACTTCCCACAATTGGAAAAGCTGGAATACAAGAACAAAAATGGAAAAGCAGTCATGTTGCCTACATGTCTAATTCTACTTTGGTCATGGTTTTTTGGATGGCAAAGAAAGAGCCAATGTATTTAAGAGAAAATGAAATAGGAACAGGAAAGGAGCACAAAAATAATCTACTGTGAAACTTCTCAATCTTAAAACTTTTAATTCTGTCATTCCTAAAAAAGCACTCTTCTGGGTGGTCAGTATTTGTATCTTCACAGTGCTGTTGAGTTGGTAAGAACTATACTTTGTGTTTCTCAGCATTTTGTTTCTCCTTCAAAGTCCACAGCAACTGCATTTTCACCAGAACTTTAACCCCTCTACCTGGCCGTTGCAACTGCAGTTACTAATTTTCCGTTTATTGTATTTTGTATGATCTTTCAGTATACTTCTAGTTCCTGTCTGAAGTTGGGTATTGGAGTTTTTTTAACAGTAAGCAGTGAACCTGACTCTTCTCTACTACTACAGTGAATGGAAAATAAACTGGATGATCGGGGCTGCAAGATGGACTGTTTTACTAGCCTGATTATCTGCTTTGAGACCTACTTTTTTGTGTGTGTTTTGTATAAGATGATTTATTTTGACAATAAACTTTAATGTGTTAAGTATTTAAAAATACTTTTGCTGATCACTTGTGCTATGATTTAAGGATGTTGATTACAATATTCAGTGTCTGAAGACTATCTTTTATACTAATCTCACCACTTCTATCGTTCTTATGCCTCTTGTCTGTCTCCTAACCTTCTGCAACACTGACTTTGTGCAGAAGTTTACTGTTGCACGAGTCTGTCACTGATCAGGAAATGTTTGAAGTCTAAAACAGATCCTCTTCCCCTTTCTTCCCCATACACCCTTCACTGTCAACTAAATAGGAATTTGGCACTCAAAACCTGAGATCACCTCCATTAAGAATGAAATCATCATCACGAGAGGAGAAAGTCATACCTGGGAAAGATACCTGCATCAAATCATCCTTATTTTATAGGAATAAAGCTCTTGGTGATGCTAGGTCTCTTAAGTACTCTGTTTTGGGTTACCCAAACTGATAAGCAAATGGTTACACTGATGTGTTCCTGGGCATACAGCAGTTGCTGGAACTGGAAGTCTCACAAGGATTATTTACCTGATGGAGGTAGTTCAGAGATCTTTGATAAAGAGTCAACAGTCCATTTACCTTGAAGAGCTGAAAACTCTGCCAACTACTGTAACTATTAAGAAATTGCAAGCATTTATATCTAAATTTCCGACCTGGTACGTATTTTGGGAAGCTTTTAAAGATCTTGCTAGCCCAAAATACACAGGTTCTAAATACGGTTACTGAGTTCAGCACTGCACTGTCTCCTTTCCTACCACAGCCATGGGTATGTAGGAGCAATTTATTTCCTGACAGTGATCAGTGCACAGTGCTGGTGTTTGTGTGGTGGGTTTTTGTTTTGGTTTGGGGTGACTTGGTTGGTTGGGGGGTGTTTTGATTTCCCACTATAGTTGGAAGATGGCTACAGCTTTTTTATTCCCTCCATTTTCATGTTCTAATAAATGATTTAAACTGACTTTTTCCTTCCAGAAGGGGGAAAAGCTATATATGTAGATCTACCTCTCATACCCCTTCAAGGGTTTTTTTTCTTAGTTATTACTTGTTTGGAACACTTTAAATTTGGAAATTATTCTGGTGATTGAACTGAAAGACAGGAAGCTTTTGCAGCAGGTCTGTGTCTGAACTCAGTAGCCAAAAGGTTAGGGACAAAAGGATAAACGCTTTTAGAAAACCTGGTCATTAAAAAGTTTGTTTACTGGGGAGCTGATCTATGACACTTTAGAAAGCTATTACAGTTTAGCAGAAAGAAAAGATAAACAGTATTACTGAGCTTTGTGTATATGTGTCCCAGTTCACCCACAGAAATGGCTTTTCTGAGGAAAACATGCCCAACTGAAGTTCAGGCAAGACTCCACGTTCTTTAAGAGTGCTGTCACGGTAGCTTCAGCTCTGGTGTGAGATTATAACTAAATTAGTTTGTCCTAGAATTTTCTAGTCTGATACTAACTCTGCCTTAACAAATGTGGGTTAAACCACTAGGTACAAAGAGAAAAGTTGGTAAACCAAGAGTTTAAAGAAGAAGGAAAAAAAAAAAAAGAACCAAATCCATGATGCAAGTATTGTCTCAGTTTGGAATTTGATAGCTTATATTGCTAAAGAGAGATTGCTTGGGAAAAACACGTTTGTGGCCTTTTTTCGTGGGAGTCCTGTTGATGTCTTGAATTCCTGAAGGAGAATGGACAGCTAATGCTGGCGATGGTTTTTTTGTCCTTGTGCAACAGAAGAACCACACTTTTACAATCCTGAGTTTCACTAGATGGCAGCATCTCAATGTTTCAACAGGAAATTACGTTTATATAGAGGAACTACCAATCCCAACAAGCACAGCGAAAAAAGTATAACACTTCCTTTTGTACAAAGGTCAGTACATATAACAACTTGTTTGAGATCTCTTGGTGAGTCACTATATTCATATTTATTTTTACATGCTTCACAGAATCGGTATGGCAAATGTTCATAAAAACCAATTGTTAGATTGAAAAAAGTGCATTTGCCTTCCAAAGTGTTAAGGTGATTGAGGGAAGTACTCGAACTGATCAGGGTTTTTTCCACTGAAAACATGTATGTGAAAATGAAGAATGAAGAGCTTCCTCTGCCTTGAGGGAGCACTTTGAGCTCATTTTGATGCTCGGGACTTGCTAAAATTAATAGAACCTTTCCCAGAATGTTGTATTTGGGCAGCTGCATTTTGGAAAGCTTGGTACAGTAGAAAGACAGTGCAACCTAGGGTAATCTCTGTGTGTAATCTCATTTTGCGTGATTAACTTGGTATTTTTTACCTGTCAATGCAAAAAGGTTATGTTAAGACAGGCCCAATCTCCTATAAGCATATGTAGCCTACCATCAGAGGCATCTGAAGAGACATCTTTTTGCTATCTAGCCTAAAAAGTGATTTTAAGGTATTGTGCTTTCACCTGATTAGAAAGGTGTGTCTCAGTTACTGTTTGCTTAGGAGACTGTTCTTCTGGTTTGTGCTTTGTTTCCTTGTGTGTGTGTGTGTGTGCACATGTGTGTCCCAGTTATGGGGTGAAAAACCTACAGTGAAACATTTCAATGTCTTGGAATGGGGTCTGTAACTCAGCCTGACTTTAAATCAAAAGAGGTAACGTGTTTAATATTAGAACAGAAAGAATTTTTCAGTTAAACTGCTTCAGAAGAACTCTGATTTGTTGAATCTGTAACGTTCAGGGAAACATTAGTTTTGCTGCAACTTTCGTTGGGAAAAGCTGCTGAGAAAACAGAATTTCTGGTCAACATCGAAGAAATTAATAACCTAGTTTAAGATGTAGGACACTAAATTTGACTCAATATTCAGAGTCATAGCAGGGATTCAAGCATCTCTAGATGATAGCATTGGCTACTAACCTTGGGGAGATTATGGTATCTTTATCTTAATTTCTCAATGAAGTACTCATTATGCTGGATTTATGGATATATTAAAAGATTTCAGGTTCTTGGGACACCTTTCTATGCTTACAGCTACATAAACTTTTCTCTGTGGATTATGAAACTGCAGAAAGTTTTGCTTATTGGAAACACAGTTGACAAACACCAGATATCACACTCTGGAACAGAGTGACCTTACTTTCTAGGCAGTTCTTTGAAACATCCTATTAGCTCGTTTACCCCTTAAATAACCAAAAAAATCATACTGGAAACTTTCAAACCCAATGGAGGGAGAGGATGACATTTGCTCTTACTTGTTTGTCTGCATCTTTCCATGCTATATTTACTTAAATGTAATGCAGCATTAGAAAGCATAGAAAGCACAAGAAGACAAGAGGGCTATGTTTTGCCTCTTGGGCCCTACGTGTTGAGTAAGGTGGAAGCTAGATGCTCCCTACCGCTTGCCCTGAGCATTCTCAGTAGTTCCCTAAGAGCAACCAACGCCAGAGAGGCGAGGCAGGGCGGAGCTTCGTTCCTGTGCCCACTCTCCTGACTTGGAGCTGGGAATCTGCTGTGCTGGAAGATTCTTAAGACAATTCAGAGCAGACGTGAAGGCCAGGGTATTGTGTGGAATTTATCTTAATCTAGGAAGTTGATGAGTTTGTAGCTTGAGAGGAGTAGAAGAAAGACCGGCTTTCTAAGAACACAATGGACAGTGGAAGCACTCGATCACAAGCTATTGTATTTCTATCCTGTTTCATCCGGACTTTTACTTTCTGTTTAAGGAAAAATCAATTCCAGTTTCTGTTATAATAAAGCTTGGCTTTTGAGCTTAAATGCCTCTTGATTTTTTTTGAAGTCTGTCCTTATGGGAAAAAAAAACAAACAAAAAAAAAAACAAAAAAAAAACAAACACCAAAACATTGAGGGAGTCCCCCCTCAGAACCCTGCATGACTCAGGGTCCCACTGCAGCCAAACAGGACAATCTGGTACTCTGAATCATGTCTAGTTTCTGGAACGCATTTGCACCGGATTCCCAGGGAGTGTTGTTGGCTTATCTTTTTGTTGAAGATTCTGTGACATCTTCCGTCTGCACAGGTCAGCAGTATGGGTCGGCTTGATGGGAAGGTCATCCTGCTGTCTGCAGCAGCACAGGGGATTGGACGAGCAGCTGCCATAGTAAGTTGGAAAATGGTTGTTCTCCTGTACCTAAGCTAGGTCTCTAATCCCAGTTTGTCCAATGACACCTGCACCAAACACGTTCTTGAATTAATAACCATAGATGAAGCTAGACCTACCCATTGAATAATTCGGAGAATAACATAGTCACTATACTGTATCATGCATGCTTTGTGCTGCTTGAATTTCTGAAAGGCTTCAGCTTTGAGGGGTGATATTAGGCACAGATAAGAGCAAGATTTGAGAACAGCTGCAACTGCTTTTCTAACAATACATGGTTGTACTGTCTGTACCTTTAATCCAATATCTCTGCTGCTTTGTTCTGTGAGGAGGAGGGTAGAGGGAATATTTCCTGTCATAAGGCTGGATACTGCAGTAAAGCCAAGACACTTTAGCTACATTAATAGCTGATGTAACAAAGTCTGTGTGATACTAACAGCACAGCTATCCAACAAGCTCCCACCTGTGAGGAATTCTTTACAAATTAATTACCATTAAACAGAATTCAACATATGTATTAACTTTCTGGTTACCTTTTAATTCCTTTTGACCAGTTCTTCCCCTGCTACTTCTTCCATAGCAGGTAGAGAAACTAGTAGACCTATCTCAGTATCTCTGTGATGTAATCAACAAGCCAGGAAAAGCTCCTGTACATAGGATTTTTGCCAGACTAGTTAGTTTCTCATGCATGCAGTTAAGACTGCAGAAGGCTGCTGATCTTGGCACTTACACTTAAACACTCAGTGCAAGGAGCAGGTAATTTTCCTGATGATTTAACTTTGTAAATACCCAACAAGCCATAGAACACTGGCATGTTTAATGACGCTATCCTCTTAAGCTGCACTTGAGACACTTATTTTGAAGGTTAGGGGCTATAGTCTAAGGTGCCAGAATGCTTTTAACACAAAGGTTACTTTGTTAGCCTAGCTGTTGTCTTATCACTAATCACAATGCAGAGAAAGCAGGTTTTGAGAGGAGTGTCAAAAATGAAGGAATATCTCTGGTTAAGTATGAAAAAGAAAAGTCATGCTCTTCTTAATACTGCTGTATTCCAATGATTTGGATGCAAAGGATTTTCATTAAATTTTATATACCACCATTCCTTTTTTTTATGACTTGTGCCTTTACCTGTCAAATCCTATAACTGCATTTAAATCCAAAAATACAGACAATTCTAGCCCTACGTGTTTGTAATATGCTTGCTAGTGCATGTGCAGCTAATAAGGGCAATAATAATACCAGTTGTTTTCATCTCTTAGTCTCATTACTGTTCTTATACTTTATTTATGGATTCTTTACTTCAAGGAAAATATCTTAAATCTGTCTTATATATTGTAGAGTTGCTTAGTTGTCTCCAGGATGTGTGGTAATTGATGTCAATTGCACCCTGACATGCCCATAATGAAAAGTGAGAGATCAGCTGCCTTCAGCCAAACTGGCAACTTCAAGCCAAAAAAGAAATAAGAAGAAAACAGACTTTATTTCTGGTAAAATCTGGAATATCTAAACTTAAACTGGTTCTCTTACTTGTATTCTTCAGGCTTTTGCTAAAGAAGGAGCCAAAGTCATTGCTACAGACATCAATGAGTCTAAGCTGCAAGAACTGGAGAAATATCCAGGTAAGTGACCTACAGTAGGTGTTAGTTCAGCTGTTGCAAGTTTTGTTTTAAACTGGCTGAAATATAATTTGAAGATAGGGTAAACTTCAAAAGGCCAGAAAAACTTAAAATATCCAGACTAATTATTTAGATGTTGGCGTTGCTTTATTCTCTGGTTTGGAATGGCAGAGATTTAGCATGCAAAATACTGCAACATCAGCATATCAGATGCAGTATTAGTATTATTCCAGGCACGTGGAATAACTTTGAGTTTCTGATGTCACAGCAGCAGTTGACTTCTGCTTCCCAAATGGCACCCGTTTCACTTACCTTTTGAGATCACTAGATTAATCGTCAAACATATCGCTCTAAAAGGCACAGAATGCATTTCTCTGATCACGAGAACTAACATCCAGCTACACAAAAATCAGATTTAGTGTCTTGAATTACCATGGTCCGTGCTTACTAAGGGATGCATTAAAAGGACAGCTGTCTGGTAGAATTTGTATGTCTTCAGAAACTAATTCCACCAACACTAGATAAGCCTATTCTGTTTGTACAAGTGCTCAGGCCTGAAGGTTGCTTTCCTACCAGTATCACAGGAACACGCTTCAAGGAGCAGGTTTTGTATAGCTGTGTTTCTTAATCATAAGTGACACAAGCATGGGACATTATATTAAAAATTATTTTTCCAATCTTGAAATTAAAAAAAAACTTGGGTATATTTTATAACTGAAAGTGCTTCCAACTTAATTTGGTGGAAGGATGCGGGTTTAATGAATTCCTATTACAGGGTGACAAATATATAAAAAAACCTTTTCTCTGGCACAGCTTTTGGAATGAATATCAGTCTCTACTGACTGGAGTTCACAACAAGCAATCCCTTTGCAATTCTTTAGGAACTTTAGGACTTTCCAGGTTCATTCTGAGGGTATTTAGGAAAGTGTTAAGTTTTGAACTGTGCATTTTTTTTCCCTCTGCTAGTGTACTCACAAGGAAAGAGGTAATTTTCCATATACTCATAGCTATTTCCATCCTTTTGACATATGATTAGTTAAGTTATAATTCATCAAGGCTTGGCACATTGTGGTCTTTGAATGTAATCCAGGAGAGGTAATTCCAGTGCTGATGTTAATCACCAGCCTGTAGTCTAATTGCATCATTATACATAAATCTCTTCAAAAGTGTCTATATCTTTTAACTAAGGCATATAAAGCCTGTTCATGGACTTGTCAGTTTGGCTTTAAAAGAAACAGGGTTTTATCCATTTTAAATCAAATTCTCCCATAATTTAGACATCACTCAGATGCTTTACAGACAGCTTTACAGTATTTCATAGAATCATGTACACTGGATGAGACCTCTGGAGGCCATTTAGTCCTGCCTGCTGCTCAGAGTGGCTCTGGTTAGAGCAGGTTGCTCAGGGCTGTGTTGAGCCCAGTTCTGAACAATTCCAAGGATGGAATTTCCTCAACAGCCTCTGTAGGCCCCTGTTCCAGTGTGACTGCTCTCCTAGTTTTAAGATAATAATATTTAAAAAACAGACAAAAAACTTCAAACAAACAACAAAAAAAAACCCCACACCAAACCCCACAAAACTCAAACATATGTTATATTATGTCAGACTTTCCCATGTTCCAACTTCTTTCTGTTGCCTTTCATCCTTCCACTGTGGGCCTCTGAGAAGTCTGGGTCCATGTCCTCTACAGTCTCTCAATAGGTAGTTGTAGATATTTATTAGACTGTGTCACTAGTTGCACGTGACTAAATTGTAAAAAACCTGTGTTGGGGCACAGGTATGTTCTGCGCTAGATGTCCCTTCATCCTAGATGCAGGGTAGGCTGTGACCAGGCTGTGGCAACAGGGTGATCAGCAGTAAGTGTTAGTGCCCTGGGAGCCTTTGTGTACCCACTAAGGGAACTACTGGAGTACACCCTGACTACTCCTTTTCCACTCATCCAGGTTTCCTTTAGATGAAAATCTCACGTATTTGAGAAGAGGGCACAGCTCAGTCTTTACAAGCAGCATGGAGTGAAGGTGCAGGCAAAGTGTACCAAACTATGCCTATTCCATAGTAAGGATTCAGCCTTGATATGGCTGACAGAAGCTAGTTGTGCTAGACTACTGAAAGCTGCTTAAGTAACATGAGATAAAATAATATGTAGATTATGTCACATCATATCTTACAGCTCACCTGGAAGAGCAGTTCTTTTACTTTGCTCTTTTTGCTTCTGGCCAGGGAATGGCACGGCTGTGGTTGGCCCTAAAGCAGTTCTGTTAGAGGGCCTGATTCTGTTGAAAAGTGTTTGGAAGAGTTGAGCCTGATGCTGTTTTGGAGAGATTATGTTTCTCAGTCTTTCAGAGATAACTTCTTTGAATTAAATAGAAGGGTTGGGTTTGTGGGTGGTTTTTGTTGTCAGTGGCATTCTTGAAGGTATGGCAGAGGCACAGCCAGTGCTGTAAGTGCTGATAGTGACAGCTGTCAGAGGCTGAAATACATAGAAACTCACAGTGAAAAGCAACATGTTTCCAGCTCTGTCTTGTTTCATTATAAACAAATAATTGCAAAAACATCAGCATCATATTTTTAAAGTAGCCTTTGTGACAGAAGCCATCATTTTGTTACACTTCATTTCTGTTATCATGGCTATGATATCATTCCAGGTTATGTAAGTTAGTGGCTTATACAAAATCACTTTTTCTCATTAATCAAATCATATAAAGCTGGTTCATCACATCCTCAACTACACATTGATAGATGGCATGTAACGTGATTGTGAGTGTATGTGACACACGTAACTAGTTTCAAGTAATTATTATTCTACAATAGCGGGCATGAAAGCTTGTTATGATTATACAGGCTCTGCAATTCTTCAGTTTGAGAGCACAGTGGAACTCAAAGTTTTTGGAAATGTTTTTAAGGTAAATGACGTCAGCTCATCTGCTTGTGTGAGGCTGTATGACAATCAAATCGGTGGATCTTTTTTTAATTCTCTTCTGAAATTTTAAATAGCATGCCATGCTGCCCATTGCTGTCCTGATTTAACTATTGCACTAATTTGATCATTAAGCGTAGCTCCCGCTCAGTGAGTCTCCATGCCATGGTGAACCACTGATGGGGGGCTGCTCCTGGCAAGCCACTGACTTGAATCGTAGATGCAGTCCTCAGCACTTCAGAAAAATGAAGTACTGATCCTTAGCCAAATACACTGAAATGAATACCGTGTTTTTCTAGGCATTCAAATACGGGTTCTGGATGTCACCAAAAAGGAGCAGATAGAAAACCTGGCCAAGGAGATTGAAAGGCTTGATGTCCTCTGTAACATTGCAGGGTAACCAGCTTCTGTTTGATCCCACTTCTTTTTCCAGTTTTCCCGGTCCTCCAGAAGTAGTTTCTTCTACTTAAATGCATTTTATTTCTTTAGTTTTAATACATTTTATATCTTTAATATAAGTTTTCTTGTGTTTTCATCAACACTGAACTTTTTGTGCATAGCTGTGTTACTCAGGCCAAGATAGAATGGCCCTGGAATTTGTCATGTTTTCCCCGCTCTATGGGTGCCCTGTACTGATGGCTTTGGCCCTCCTGGCACAACAGTGAGAAAGCTGACGCTCTGCCAGTGCTCTATCTTTAATTTCCCTATTACCAAACATTTCTTTGCACATATTGGATCTGTCTTGTCTCCCTGATACTTATCAGAAGAAATATACTGTTGCTTGCTTTCTTCAAAAGAGCTCTTGTCCCTCCTTTTCAAGGTTGGAAGGTTGGACTATTGCAAAATAGTGATGGAAAGATATGCATAAAAAAATCAGAGACATAAATCACAGACAGTCATTCACTTCATGCACTTATTCTAGGTTTGTTCATCACGGAACCATTCTGGATTGTGAAGAGCAAGACTGGAACTTCACTATGAACCTCAATGTTCGCAGCATGTATCTAATGATCAAGACATTCCTTCCTAAGGTAAGGCTCGGTTGCCCATGATTCTTAGTCTCTGCTGCATTGTGCTTAGTGTGAGAGGTCTAAGTTGTTGCTACTGTGACAGCATGGGGTTTGAAATAAAAAGGCAAGTATGAGCTTTGTATAGGGGAGGCCCTTCGATTATAGTGATCCTACTCTAAAACATTCTCTGCATTGTGTAATCCTTCAAGTAGACAATCTGTCTAAAGGATATCGTAAAGAAGATTAATTCAGGGGGGTTGTCCCATGTAATTTGTAACTAAAATCCTTCAAATGCAGAGCAGTGAGAGCGCCATTGCAATACAGTGCTGCAGTATTATACTATAGCACACAGCTGCACAATACTGCTGCTACAAAGAATTTATAAAATATGTTTATCAATGTGAATTTTACGCAAATCTGGAAACTACCTTGTGAAGCAATTCAGTGCCACTGATACCATCATGCTGGTGATATCAGAACAACAGTGTGTTTGATGCAGTAACTATGTTCGGGACTACAAAAATTTGTGGACTGAATAAAGTATTTGTATTCCTGTAAATGCAAAGGCCAGAAGTGGAAGCTGTGACCATGACTGGATGATGACTGCTCTGTTTTCAGTGTTGTTCCAGCCCTTTTTGTTCATTTGGTTCTTGTTAGCTTTTTTTTTTTCCTTAGCTGATCTTCCTGTCAAAGGTTCTTTTGTAACAACTTCAGCCACCTCAGGTTTTGAGATGCCTCAAAAAGTTGTTAGCGACACTTCAGAGATGCTAGGGAGCTGTGGTTTAGTCTTCTCCAAAGCAATGGAAAAGTGAGTTAGTGCATTGGCAGATGGTATGAGCAGATGGCTACGTAGGGTAATTTACATAGGTGTGACAAGAGGACAAAGACTCAGAGATGGCTATCTAGGCAAAAAATCCTTCCCTGTCATAGCCTTCATGCCTCAGATGACTTAAGAGAACCTAGTGAGAATTTCCAATTCTGCTTTGGTACTTCAGTCGATAGACCAAAAAGAGATAGGCACCTATTCACGCTAATTAAGCTTTGTTATCCTGTGTATCAACTGCATGTATGGCTGTTCTGTGGGTTATATTGGGCTACTTTGCTGGACCTGCAGATGACAAGACAGCTTGCATTTGAATAACATAAACATTCTTTTGCAGATGCTTAAACAGAAATCTGGAAATATAATAAATATGTCCTCAGTGGCATCCAGCATTAAAGGTCAGTAGCTTGCTAGAGAGTGCCTTAAAGATAAAAATCTTTAAAGCGATGGGAATGCAAAATAAATATTGCACAACTTTGAATTTAGAGGACACCACCAATCCTGTGGAGAGATGCAATTAAAAAAAAAGTGAACACATCAAGTCATGCATTCACACAAGGAAACTGCAGAAACACTAAGATCCTTGCCTGTGAGCTTTTGAGTCTATCCTGAATGTTTTGTAGCATCCTTTTTACCAGCTTGTATTCAGTAAAACGGAATTACTTTCTGTAATATTTTACTACATATGTTCTTCAGAGAAACAATGAAGAACCGACAGTTATGTAAGTGCTATATTTATGCTTCCCAAGGACACCTGATGGTGATTAACAGGCTGGTCTCTGCCGTCCCTAAACCTTTCTTTGCTTTGTTAACTTTTCTAGACTACTCCCCAAACTTACACTATTGAAAGATCATGTGCTTTGCTCTGTGGTGTATGCCTGAGTACAATTCTGGCAGTCAGCATTCTAGCTGGCCCACCCTTGTGGAAAGACTGCAGGAGCTACAGGAAATGCTGGAGTCCAGAAACAGGTGCATATTGAACAAACTTGTCTGTCTCTTCTTCTTTTTTTTTAAAAAAAATACGTTTCTACACTGCTTTCACACTGGCCTTCTGTTAGGAGTTGTGAACAGATGTGTATACAGTACTTCAAAGGCAGCAGTTATTGGTCTAACAAAGTCTGTGGCAGCTGATTTCATTGAACAAGGCATCAGATGCAACTGCATATGTCCTGGTAAGTATTCTTACATTATTTTGTAAACTGGGAGCAGATGCTAGAAGGACGGATTTAATTTGACATTATTAACAAAGAACAGACTTACAAGTGGTGACTAAAGTTACCAGCAATCAAAAAGAACAGGACGTGCTTGAAATGCTTCTGAGGTTTGAAATAGAAAAGTTGTTGCTTTTGTAGTTAAGCCATATGTTTAGTCTGTTAACCCAGCATATGCACTTCATATGTGCATTACACAGTATTTGAATGTTTATTTTCAAAGATACAGTCTAGAAAGTAGGAAGTTAGAAGCAGGCAAGAGCTAGCTATCAGGCTAGCCGTTGTTTAACCATCTGAAAAGTGGTGACTCTAGTTCTCCAAAGTCTTGCCTTCTGTTGAAGTTTAGAATCTTATGCTATGTTGATAGTTTTGCAGTCTTTCTCCTGAACCATATCATGAAGTTGCACGTAAGCGTTAAGACATACAAATAGAACTGATGAACTGCATTTGTTTGTCATGATTGTTGATGCAGTTGATTTTTAACATTTAATTAAAAATTTTGTTTAGGAACTGTTGACACACCATCTTTACAGGAAAGAATCCAAGCCCGGCCTAACCCAGAACAGGTGAGAAAGCAATTTATTAGTTTGATCATGTGTGTACATATGTTTAACTCCCTTTAAGAAAATAAAATAAATATATAGGGGCATTTCTGCCCATATTCAAGAACAGAGTATCAATGATAAGATAACAGTAGTGTCTCCTTTGATAGTTTGAACACTAGACAGAAGTCTTAAAATGCCTCAGAAGGATACTGTTGCTTAGTGAATACAGAGGGTCTGTCATCCCTGCAAGCGTTTGCAATCATCGGTTATACTATCTAGTGCAAAAGTAGAAGACTTTTCTACTGTGGCAGGGGGGCGCCAAAGCCATAAACTAGTGCAAAAACATGATAGAAAGGGCATTCTGGCCTAAGCATTTCAAAATTATTTGGGATGCTTAATAAATAACTGAGCCCTCATTTGAAGGGCCTGGGAATATCTACTATCAAAGCAATAAGGGCTTATGTTGGCTTTATTCTGGAAACAGAGGTTTAGGTCCAGTCTTCTACTATTTTTCAACCTGAAATTCATACCACTGTTAATCTTCTAATTTCTCTTTCTAGCATAAATTCTCTACTCAGTGTACTAAAGGAAGTTATGACTTCTGGCCTGTTTCCAGTATTGCTTTGTACCTTGCATACTAATTGGATTAAAATAATTGTTGTGTATTTTTGATATACCAAATGCTCTTATACATCTAGGCATTGAAAGATTTTCTAGCCAGACAGAAGACTGGTAGGATGGCTACTGCTGAAGAAGTGGCCCATCTCTTTGTGTACTTGGCTTCTGATGAAGTGAGTATGGAACAATAACATTTCCTGTCACAGAATCCCATGCTACTTTGCTGCTTCACAACAGAAATAATTTGTTTTACAAGGATTTATCTCGTCTTTGAGCTGGATTATTACAAAAATAAAAAAAACCATCTTTTACTGAGTTCAACCCATGATACAAAAAGTAGTCTGAAAGTTTACAGTGATTGTTAAGGCATTACATATTTGGTACCATAGCCTGGTGGTTTCATATCATTTGAGCAACTTGACTGAGCCCAGATCATGGAATCGTAGAATGGTTTGGGTTGGAAAGGATCCTCTACTTCCAACCCCCCTGCCATGACCAGGGACACCTCCCACCAGACCAGGTTGCTCAAAGCCCCATCCAGCCTGGCCTTGAACACTGCCAGGGAGGGGGCAGCCACAGCTTCTCTGGGCAACCTGTTGCAGTGTCTCACCACCCTCACAGGAAAGAGTTTCTTCCTAAGATCTAATCTAAATCTACCTGAATCATCCTGAGTGATAGGAGAAATGGGCTTGTCTACTCATCACCTACCTTCACTATTCAAGAGCAAATATTTGTGTAGAACTGCTGGAGGTTTCACCTATAAGAGTTAATGCTCAGAGTGAATCTACCCTTTCAGCATAAGGAAAACAATAGACTCACTGGGGCTGTTATACACCAAACTCTTAATGACCACTGCAAATACCACCAACACTAATGAGCACACATCAAGGTTATTCTGGATGCTATAAATTTACCATAAATCTAAGGCTGGACTGGATTCTTCTGGACTTGTGCAGCAGCCCTGCTGAGCATAACACAATACTTTAATGGAATTAATTCAGTCTTAATGTTGCTATCTATCAGTAATCTGTTTCTCATTTTCATCTTGGTTTTAGTGTTTCTGTAAAGGTACTAATTTTTTCCAGTCTGGTCATAGGGTTTTCAACCATGTGTAGGTAGAATTCCAGTTTTCCAATATATGGATTTTATATATATATTTTATATATTTTATATATATATATGCTTTAGTGCTGACATAGAGAAGAATGTGAACAGCTCGGTTGCTTACCTTACTGTCTGCACAATCCAAATTTTCAGTTAGGTCCCCTTGTAATTATTGGCTGACCTGATCAGACTCTGCTCAGCTGAACAAAGGTAATAACATCATAGTGTGGGTGTTATTTCTGCAGGTAAGATATCTGAAGTCTAGCTTACATGAACTTGTACACTCGGTATGCATTCCCATCTTAATGCCTCTAATAATACTTTTGCTGCAATCCCCTGAGTTTCCTGAAAGACTTCCATTTCTAAGTTTGTTTATGTTCTGTTGATTCAGATATTTTTGTAAGACAAAAAAGTCTTTGTATAAAAAGAAAGTGTTTATTTGGTTTTTTTTTAATTTAAAGAAAAAGTGTTTCTCTGTAATAGCCATGAAACACTAGTTAAAATTACTGTTCATTTTTATGTAATTTCAGTCTGCCTACGTGACTGGTAATGAACTCATCATTGATGGAGGATGGAGCTTGTGATTGAGCCTACCTGCAAATGGAAATTCATACCATAAAGGCAAAAAGTGAGGATCATGTTTCTCAGTTAAGATAGTCTGAATTGTATTGTAAGCAAATCTGAGTGAAATGAATTAAATACTACATTTATTTTCATCCTGCAAAGTATTTGGAAGCTAAACATTCATAATTAGATTTCCTACTAGCATTGACATACTACCCAGAGAAAGCAGAGCGACTACTATTAAATCAGCCAAACAGATCCTGAACTAAGCGTGGTTTAAACAGAAGAAAGCAGAAACAATAGCAAACTTGAAGATTGGAATTTCTAATCATTTTGGTACTGGTAATAGATGTTTTTATATTAGAGAGCATACTAGTTGCAGATGGTACTTGAAAGCACATTCTGCTTTGCAAATTACAAAGTAGGTTCATTGTGCTCTGTGCTAGTGTTAGCAAAATGTATTAGAACTTTAAGAGCTGTAGAAAAACAGTCTGAATTGTTGAAAAGAATATGTCCCAAGCCTAGTAACACTTACAGATCCAAAGTAGGCGGTACTAGACAGTCAAACACTGTAGATATATGGTGTATGGGCACATGAAACTTCCTGCGTATATAGCCAAGTGTCAGTGTACACACGCTTGTGTTGCTTGTGCAACTGCAATGTCCGTTTTCCAGATCCTGGGCTAATCAGGCAGGCGGAATCTGGAAAAGCAGTAGCGCAAAAGGCAGGGCTGCAGATTACGGTTAGCAGTAGGACTGGCCACTTCGTGGGGTTTGGGAGGGTTTTTTGTTTAAGCCCATAACCACTATAGATGCTGTCTTCACAAAGCAGAAAAGATGGAGAGAAGGCTTCTCTAATGGTTAAGACTAAAGCTTATAGCATGTATGGGGATATATGTGGGAGAAATATTCTTAAATACACAGGTGGATCTTCATGAATACACTTGACTTTTAGCACACAAGCAAAAGGAGGGGAATTTACCACTCTAGATAGAGCAAATATATTCCTTCTCAAAAGCACGTACTAACAGTGGGCAAATATTGTTAAATCTGTGTGCTAGCTGCTAGGCTTTGGTATTCTGTTGGTCCATTCTCAATTACAATACGGTAGTTCGTGATAAAACACAAGGCTGTTTCTCTGAAAATATCAGGACTGTTTCTACAAGAGTTTGTGTTGATGTTTTTGTTGTGATAGCTCATGTTAGCTTTGATTTATGAATCGGAAACCTATTATCATAAAGTTTCATACTCTGGAAAAAAACATAGATCCTGAGTCAGAGATCTAAGGCAATGAATAGCTGAATTCCAAAGCTATTTGTTTTGCTAACGTACTGTTAAAACTGACATGAATGACATAGGTTGACTGCCCATAAATATAGTTACGTTTAAAAATTGCACACAGCTCCATTTGTCTAGTATATGAATGAAGCTGTATATAATTTCATATATATATATATATATGGGGGGAAGGAATTAAAGAATAAATGCTACTGAGTATGATCAGTATTCGGAAAGCACAGGGAAAATGTACAATATTTTGTGCATGTTTCTGTAAAAACTGCCTTGTTTTTATAATTATTGCTTAAACTTTTCAGTATTAGCTGAAGCATTAATACAAATTATTTGATTTCTAAGATAACGGAACATGCCTAGTTAAAATCGAGCTTCTTATTTTAAAATCGTAAGTAAATATAACTTTTACAAATGAGAAAGTTTTGTGGATCTTGGCTTCCTCAGGCTCATTGTGGGTTTAACTTTCACCTTTAATCATGGTTGGAGCATTCTGATCCTGTGTAGTTTGTTTATGAGTTTTTGAGTACCTAATATTGCAGTAAGGTGATCCTGCAGCCAAGCAGGATCAAGCTGAGGCAGAAATCCCGTTATCCAAAACGGCCCCACCAGTGTTCATTGACATGAATTCAAATGCTAAAAGTTCAGGCTGGCTGTTTGGATGGTTTCAGAGTTTTTAACATGAAGGCCAAAGCCCTTTCTCTGTAGTGGGTGTGGAAGGCTTACCTTGGAAAGAGAATCTCCCCACTGCAGTAACATGGGAAACTTGCACCGTGCATTCTGAAAATATAATTATAGAATCTGAGAGAAAATTCATTTTACTTATTGCATATTGAAATTTATTAGTTAACGTTTCTAAGCTCACTGGTGATTGTAGTATACAGATGTTGCTCAGAAATGGCTTTTTTTTTTTTCAAAGCACTCCTGCAAGAAAAGGAGGTACCATCTGCTTTTTACATTGCACTAAAAGCACAGATACATGGATTTTCCAGTGCTAGTCCGAGAAGCTGGTGGACTAGAAAAAAAAAATCAGGGGAGATTGCTGTCTCTTGCTTATTAGCAATGCTTTTCATGGATGTGTTAACAGCTACAAGCCTGAAACATGTTCTAATATCTAGGAGTTTTCCAGCAGACTTGCTGAAATTATTAAAGGAGGGTGCTTCTATGCTTTTGTGACTTCTTAATTCCCTGGCCTGTTTTTAATGGACTAGGTAATTCTGTTTGTTTTCCTTTCACCCCAGGGATAATATAAAGAGGAGTTTTTTGACTTTTCAGATTCTAGGTCAAACTTTTCTATTGCAGAAGAGGTGGGAAGAGACTTCCCTGATTTAGAGTCCTGGAAAATTTAATCTGATCAAAAACCAGTGCTTTTTTTCTCAGATTTCTAGTCAGCTTAATTATGCATAATGCTACTAGAAGCAACGTGTTACATTTGAACCTGCTTTTGTGTGCACCCAGAGTAGCCTGCAAAATGAGGCTGAGAGGGGTGAACCTGTCTCATTCCCTCACGTGCACTTAAAGACGAGGTGGACAGAACTGATTCTTCTTTAAGAAGTAGAAATTTCTTCATGGGAACACCACAAATATGCAAGGGTTTTTTGGGGGTTGGTTGGTTGGTTTGTTTTTATTCTCCTGCCTGCCCCAACGCAGTTCTGCATGCACTCAGAGCAGAGCCACCTCGAGACCAGTGCCCTTCGCACCTACCCTCCACCCACCGCGCCGCAGTCGGAGTAAGAGCATCGCACCTTCCCCACGTCTCTCCCCACGGCCCCGGGGCAGGCAGCCCCCAGGGCACCCTTTTTAGACGCGCGCGGCCTGCAGTGAGGCGGGAAGCGGAGGGCCGGCTGCGAGGCACACACCAACCTCCTTCCTTCTCATCCCTCACCCCCCTGCACGCCGCGGGCT